TATATATATATATATATATATATATATATATTTCATTTTTTAAAATATGTGTGTGCGAGCATGCTTTCTGCGAATATCTCTTGTTAATGCATGGCATATCATTTTTTTTTTCATCACATTGGGAGCAATATGGGAGGACTCTTTAATACTATTTTGCTGTTCCAGACGTGTCAGTTGAATGAATATTCTTTATTGATTTTTCACAAAACTGCCTGAATTACATACTTGTAGTTGCAAATTTTATTCTTGTGGATCATATAAGGAGCTCAACATGTGGATATAATACAGAGAGAAAATTTTATTCTTAAAATTTGTATTGCATTTTAATTTATCTTCCACGTTTTCCAATAGATACTAGATTTGGAGACATTTTTCAATGGACTATTATGTATTACTGTTTTATTTTTCTCTAGATGTACATTCATGCTGTTTTCTTAGAAGATAATCCTATTTCATGTCAATTGAAGACCCTTATGCCCAATACACATGCTTCTGTTATTATGTTCTAATAGTTTAAATATCTTTTTTTTTTTTTCGCAAATTTCTGCAATACATAGTCTAACTATTGCCATTATGTTTTTCCATTTTTAGAAATGAGTACTCTTAATCATTATTTTGTTTTCTTTTGCTGCAGGACACTGGCGTTTATAGAGATTCCTGGAGGGATCTCTTTGACGTCGTGATTGCTTGTGCTAATAAACCAACCTTCTACACTTCCGAGCATCCCTTCAGGTTTTTATAGATCTATTAAGATGTGCTTTCCATATTTGAAACGCTGCAATGAAATTGAGGCGTTTTTTTCTTTGTTGGCCTTAACTGATCAATGTAATTGGCTACTTCAGAGTTAAATTTTACTTGGTGGAGGGAGCTCACCTTCTATATCATATAATCAATGGAGTTTTTTATTTTGCCAGCTACCTTATATTTTAAAATTTTGTTGTGTTTTCATACTGTGGACTTGGCTCATGTCATTTTTATGTTGATATTTCTTTCATGGAATCTTTCTTCATTATACGTTTAGCTAATTGGTTAAATAGTTTGAATGTTCTTTTTGAGTTCATTGTATGTTAAAATTCAGTGTTGTTTGATGTTCTGTTTTGGTCTGCATGGCTTTTTTCAGATATTATAATATTGAGAAGGGCACCTTAGCTTTTACGGCAGTCGATGAGTTTCTTCCAGGCCAAGTTTACTATCATGGCTGCTTAAAATCATTTCTACAAATTACAAAATGGAATGGCTCTGAGGTAATTAACGAAAATTTAGTTGGTCTGCTGATTGTTGAAATACTTTAGGCAAGAGAGTTCTGTTAGTACTTTGATTTAGAAGGTTGCAATTTATGAATGACAGTTAGATGCCTTTTTCTCTTCTTGATGCATGTGACGATATTTTCTATTCATCTGTTCATTTTCCACCACGTAATTTCCACCTGCCTTATTAAGTACGTGGCATACATTATGAAATTTTAGCCTTTTTTTAATTATTATACTTATTTAAGATTATTTTTATTAGTTTTATTTCGTTTTATGTATATAATGTTTGGATTATCTTCTTTTTAAATTTAATGATAAAATTTGTAGGCCTTGTGTTGATTTAAATTATAAATTATTTTGATTTTTTTTCATGTAATTTAAAATAGGTAGTTCAATGCTTATAATTCTTTTATCAATTATGAATAAAAGATTAAAGCTAGATTTGAGGTGTAAGTGATTTAAGCCGACTTGTGAGTTGACCTGACTCGGCTCCATAAATGGCTTGCGAGTCGAGCTCGATGAGCTAATGAGCCAAGTTTGAGCTAGTCTTGATTCGTCTCGTTATATCGCTAGTCTGGTCGTTTAAAAAATATTAATATAAAATGTACTTAAAATATATTTGCATTTGATATTTTAATTACAAAGTAAAAAAAATATTTTAAAAAGATATCACACTTTTTATATTTGGTGATTCTTTATTATTATTTTTTTAATTTTTCATTTTTTTAATCATTTTATTATAAGAATTACTTGACTGATAATCATTTTCTCTCTTTCTTAACAAACGAGCTGGCTCATGACGGTTCGAGCTCGATTAATTAATCGTGTTCAAACACAAATCAGTGGTGACTCGAGCTCGACTCAACTCATTTACACTTTAAGCTAGATCCTCTTATGGTCATAAATGTCCTACATTCTCTCTCTACTCTTCTTTCACTCATTATAATTCCCTCACTAAGCCTAGTTTAATTTTTCATTCAATCAAGGTTATGAATTTGAAAACACATGCAATTTAGAATGCAAATTCATAAGGGAAGATGAGAAAGCTTAAGAAGGAATAATTGTTCAAAGGCTTTTTTAACGACTATCACGACCCAGCCCGGAGGCTAGAGTTAACGAGACGAGAACAGACGGTCGGACGGTAGATTAGATTTTCAATTACTAAATTTATCTCAAATACACTGAAAGAGCAACTAAACTTCAAAAATATAAATGTATATAAAATGAATTAAAATACTTTTCTTCAGGTGCGTCACATCTACGATACGCATTTTCGCCTCTTCTACTCATTTTGCTTTTATATTAAACTTACATGAAAAAATATGTTAGAGCAACTAACAGTAAGTCACAGCTTAGTGAGTTTACATGCTTTTAAATCACAATAACTCAAGGCAATTAGAACAATATGCATAATTTTTTTTTTTCATTTCATATCATAAAATAATTACACTTAATTGTATCATTCATGTTGAGATTTTTTCATTTCATGGCTTTTAATGTTATGCATAAATCATACTTGCCATATATATATATCATATATGTATTCATATCTTTCTTATTTATCATAAATAATACAACCTTCACATGAGCCACCATCTAATTTTGTACAAATGAAGGTATTCCTTTTCTGTTTCCTTTTTTTATTTTTTTATTCGTAATCTTTTTATTTTAACATGCATGGCTACATTGCATCCCTAGCCAGTACCTTAACGGAGTGTGCTCCATCAATTAACATGCACATGCAAGCATACTATATCATAACATTTCATTTACTTTCTATGAAAATGTAAGTCATGACATATTCAATTTCATTTGATTCAACATGATAAATCTTTGAGTATGAAAAAGACATCATAATCTAATTTGCAATAAATACTTATTTAGCATATATCACTATCTTTCAATGCATTTAATTTAAGAAAGGACAGCATCATTACTATAAAATAAAAGCATGAGTACTCACATTCAATGTTTCCAAGGTTTAATATTTTTCAAACCAAGCTTTGCTATAGATTCTAATGCTCGTCTCAACTTAATTATAAATCTTTCACTGTTCAAATAACATTAAAAGATTTTAAACCTTCAACTTGGAGTTCTCAATTAAAAAGCAACATCGATGATTCCTATTCTTTTTATGATGATAACCTAATTTACTTCAACATAAAAGAGCTCTATTCATCTTAAAATTTCTATTACCCAACATTAACCATAATTCATTTTCATTAACTTAGCATTTTAATATCATTAATTTTGGATTTTAAATAAACCATAAATTTAAAAAATCAAAATTTTGGTATAATCCCATAATTTACCCTTTTTACCCCTTTACAATTACCTAAATTAATTTAAAGTATTTTAAATTTTCAGGTTTGCCCTAAAACCCTAAATTTGGAAACCAAAAGTCCATTATTTTCATCACATAATCTTGCTAAAACCTCCCGTTTACTCAATTAACATTAAGGGCATGTTATAACACCCCACAAAAGACTATATTGTACTGCAGAGTGCAATAATAATAATCATAACATTTTCATCATTTACCTTTGAGTTCTGTTGAATTCATTTCAGATCTAAATAAAAGATCATATAACATCATTTGAAATAACAAAGGAAGCATCTAATAATTCCCCATATTTCATCACATCAAAGACTTTGTACAGAGCCACTAAGGAAATCCAAAACAATTCAAAGTAAAACAACTTTAAAACTTCTTTACTAACCTTAAGAGTAGATTAAAACATTTAAATAAACATTTACATAAAACTTAAATACTTGCATATCAAACTTCTTTCACTTTTCCTTTCCCTTTTCCTGTAAAAACAACCAGTAAAAGGTAACTGGTAAGCTATGAGGCCTAGTAAATTATGTAATTTAAATAAAAGTTATAATATAAGAAGAGAATAAATCAAAATCTTGAAGTCATAAAGCATTAAACTCACCTTTTAATGATAACAACATCATAAATCCTAATTAGCATTTTTAATTATCTCTTTGAAGTTATATTGAATATCAAAATTAAATATGTAAAAGACTTGGCTATAAATTCATAAAATATTTAATGGAGCCCTGGTTACCCTGACATTATCGCCATCGAATTACATTGAGGTCCCTTTTGCCTCATTGGGGTCCCTTTTGCCCAACTTACTATGCAGGTTTCTTTTTCTTTTGGGGTCCCTTTTGCCCCCTTTACAAAACATGCTTAGTAATTTGGGTCCCTTTTGCCGACCTAATATTATAGACATCATTTCATTTTTATATAGTCAATCTTTACTTTTAATTTGGTATTCCATACTTCTTACCTTCATAATACATATATGATTTTAATGATTATAAGCTTCAAGTTTGCTTATACTTATTCATTTGGTGTACCATGAATTTAGTAGCTACTAAGTTAAAACAGAAACTTCTTTGCATAAAAATATCAGTTAAGAAAAGACTGAGATAAGTACATTTAAACATCTATCAAATCTCTCTTATTCTCATGGATTGAAAGTTGTCAATACTTTAATATGCCTTCATGATGACTAAATAAATTCTCATACTGCATCTCTTCATAATAGGCTTTCAAAACATAATTGATAAATTAACCATTCATGATGATTACAACTATATTTAATTACATAATTTACCTCTTTGATTGTTGATCTCTTCAAAACCTACACCACGAATCCTTCTCCTTTGATACACAAACCCAAAGCTTTCTTTCTGCATAAATTTATGAATAATCATACCATACAATTAGGTTATCACTATTAGAAATGTTACTAAATTTAGGTGACATAAAAGATAAAGGTTAATAGTATACTTCTCACCTTTTCTTCCTTTCTTTCCGATATTCTTTTCTTCTATTCTTCCTTTCTCTCCTCTCCAAGCTACCACCTTAATTCATAATTCATTAAACTAGTTTGCATGCACACAACACTACAATTCATAAAAATTCTAATCATTTTACTTGCAATTATTTCCCTTTTTTCACAATTGCAACAAAATTCCCTTCAAAGATATGCTCTGAATCCCTTGAACCACAGAACTATTGCTTGCACCAGAAGATTTTGCGAATTCCCTCTGTTCTCAGCGGCAATTGACCACCTATGCTACAGTGTTTTCAGCACTATGCTGAAACCACTACAGCCCGCAAGCAGTCACTGTGCTGACCTTTCTACTGGGAAATTGAAAAAAATCCTTCAGCTGCTGCTGCTTATGCCTCTTGCTTCAGCCAATCTGTTCCCTGCGCGTCTCGGTTGAGAGTGGAGAACCGAATTCTTGCTACAGATTTCTCTGCCTTCCTTCACAGAAATAGCGGCAGTTACCAAGAATTAATTTCCAGATATGGATAAAAGAGTGGGTCCCACTCTTCAACCGATTTCCAAAAGTCTCCTCCCTAAAAACATCTGTTCGACTGCTAATAAAAAAAACTCAATTAATTATTATAATTCCGCTATCTAATTGATCCTTAACTAATCCTTCTATTTAAATAAATAGCTACTAATTAAAGCTTTACACAATAAAAATGCATACCTGAAAATTTGACTCTTTGGATATTACAAATCTTCCTTTCTTAATAGAATTTTGTCCTCGAAATTCTACTTTTCATTCAACATTAAACAAGTGAGGAAACTTATGTTTCATGTCTGTTTCCTTTTCTCGTGTAGCCTATTTTACTATTCTGTGCTTCCACTTAACATTTACAAAAGGTATTATTCTGCTCCTTAATTTACGAATATCCCTTTCCAATAAAATTTCCAGTTATTCAACATATGTCAATTTTTTCTGAAGTTTAATATCTTTTTTAAGAACTCTTTGATCTTCATCTGTAACCCATTTTCTGAGCATTGATACATGAAAAATATTATGTATATCGGACATATCTGAAGGTAGAGCCAACCTGTTTGCTACTTGTCCCACTCTTTCAATAATCTCATATAGACCTATAAATCTAGGGCTGAGTTTTCCACTTTGGCCAAATCTAGAAATACCTTTCATTGGTCTTACCTTCAGGAATACAAAATCTACCACATCAAATTCTATCATTTTATGCTTGCGATCATAATATTTCTGTTGGCGGTCTTAAGCTGCTTTTAATCTGTCTCTGATTAGTCTTACCTTTTCCGTAGCTTGATCCACTAACTGTGAACCCAACAATTGTCTTTCACCAACTTCAAACCAACTCAAGGGAGTGATGCATCTTCTGCCATATAAAGCTTCATATGGAGCCATTATGATACTGAATTGGTAGCTATTATTGTAAGTGAATTCTATTAATGAAATGTGATCCTTCCAGCTACCTCCAAAATCTAGGATACAAAATCTTAACAAATCTTCCAACACTTGAATCAACCTTTCTGATTGACCATCTTTCTGAGGATGAAATATAGTGCTGAATTTCAATTTTGTACCTAAACTTGCATGTGTAATATTCCATAACTTAGATGTGAAGCGCCCATCTCTATCTGATACAATAGCCTTAGGAATTCCATGTAATCTGATAATTTCCTTCACGAATAATTTGGCCAATTTCTCCACTGAATCAGTCTGACGGATATGTAGAAAATGGGCTGACTTGGTGAGTCTGTCAACTACTACCCATATACTATCATGCCCTTGTTTTGACCTAGGAAAGTCTGTAACAAAATCCATGGCTATCTCTTCTCACCTTCATTCTGGAATTGGTAAAGGTTGCAACATTCCACTGGGTTTCTGATGTTCAGCTTTAACAACTTGACACTTTCCACATTTAGCTACATAAGCTACCACATCTCTTTTCATTCCTGGCCACCAAAACGAAGTCTTCAAATCCTTATACATCTTTGTGCTTCCAGGGTGAATGGAGTAACTGGTACTATGTGCTTCAGACAAGATGTCTTGAATCAAATATGACTCTTTTGGTAACCACAACCGCATATTGTACCTGATTATTCCTTGTTCATCAACACTGAGTTCCTTCTTTAATTTTTCTTGCACTTGATCCAAAAACTTCTGATATTTATTGTTTTTTTTACCTTAATTATTTTCTCCAATGACAATTGAACTGTCATATGATTAATGTTGAGTGTATCATGATCTCTTAGCATTCTGACTTTTAATTGTAAGGCTTCCATTTCTTTAATCAATCTTTCCTCACTAGTCAACAAATTCAACTGTGTTTGGTTCTTTCTGCTCAATGCATCAGCTGCAACATTAACCTTTCCTTGACGGTACTGGATTTCTAGATCATAATCCTTTATTAATTCCAACCATCTTCTCTGTCTCAGATTCAATTCCCTCTGAGTGAAAATATATTTCAAACTCTTATGATATGTAAAGATCTCACATTTTACCCCTTACAAATAATGTCTCCAAATTTTCAATGCAAATGCTTCTGCCGCCAACTCTAAGTCATGAGTGGGATAGTTCTTTTAATGTGGCTTAAGTTGTCTGGAAGCATAGGCAATCACTTTTCTATTCTGCATTAACACACAATCCAATCCTTTTAAAGAAGCATCACTGTATAGCTGAAATACCTCCGTTCCAGAAGGAATTGTCAGTACTGGTGCAGTTGTCAAACATCGTTTCAATTCATGAAAACTCTGCTCACAATCATCTGTCCACTCAAACTTAATATCCTTCCGGGTTAACTTGGATAAAGGAAAAACAATCTGAGAAAAACCCTTAACGAATCTTCTATAGTAACCTGTCAATCCCAAGAAACTTCTGACCTCTGCTACATTCGTTGGTGTTGGCCAATCCACTACTGCTTTAATCTTTTCTGAATTCACTGAAATTCCTTCTCTACTAACAATGTGTTCGAAAAATGGAATTTTTTTCAATCAAAATTCACACTTGGAGTATTTAGCAAACATTTTATGTTGCTTCAATAAATTTAGAACAATCTTCAAATGATCTGCATGATCCTTATCATTCTTAGAATAGATCAATATATCATTAGTAAATACAATAACAAATTGATCCAGATAAGGTCTGAAAATTCTATTCATCATATCCATAAATACTGTATGGGCATTGGTTAACCCAAACGGCATCATTAAAAATTCATAGTGCCCATATCTGATTCCAAAAGCAATCTTCTCCACATCACATTCTTTTATCCGAACCTGATGATAACCTAATCTCAAATCAATTCTGGAGAAAACAGAAGAACCTGCTAAATGATCAAAGATATCATCAATCCTGTGAAGATGTACTTATTTTTAACTTTCACCTTATTTAATTCTCTGTAATCAATATAGAGTCTTAAAGAACCATCCTTCTTCTTGACAAATAATACTGGTGCACTCTAAAGGGACGAACTAGGTCTGATAAAACCCTTCTCAATTAATTCAGCCAACTGATCTTTCAGTTCTTGCAATTCCTTGGTTGTCATTCTATAAGGTGCCTTGACAATAGGACTTGTGCCAAGTTGAAAATTAATTGAAAATTATACTTCTCTATCCGGAGGTAGCTCATTCCATTCCTCAGAGAACACATTTATGAATTCATTCACAATAGGAATCTATGTTGCACCGATACAGATACGGCGATATAGATACGACACGATACGGATACGGGACACGCCAATTCTTAAAAATACAGGATATGGATACGGCACTGATACGACTTTATAATATATAAATAATACATAAAAATTAATAAAGTAATCAAAGTGTAATATTTGAAATGACAAAAAATTGAAATAAAAGTAAGCATTAAATATTGAAATGTCTAGTACAACAACAAAAACAAGAAGATAAATTGCCCAACACATGAAATTTCAACTATTCAATAGAAGGAATGATAGGATTAGCTTCTTCAGTGGTTTGTCTTTGAGTTTCTATATCATCTTCAATAAATATCATAGCTTCTAATTCAGGCTCATCAAGTGAAAGATTAGCAATTTCTAATATTCCCATATCCTCAAGAGATTCAAATCCATCTCCAGCAACATCCCACATCCTGTTGTCTCCTTCCATATAAGTTGGAGTTTTCCTTGAGAGAAGTCGAAGGTTGTATACATGTAAAACTAAATCTTCAGCCGTGTGAGTAATTTTATTTCTCTTCATTGATTGGATGAATAGTTGTGTCTCCAATTTCTTTCACAACAGGATGAGGATGAAACTTGGCCAAGCAATTTTATGGCGATTGTTTGAAGTAGAGGTGTTGAAGCTCCATGTATAATCCACCACATTTTCGGATCAATTCTCCACCTATCACGCAATGACTCTTGGTCACCAAAGTTCTTTAAATAACCAAAAAATTTAGCAAGCTCAATATTGACACTTCTTCTTCTCCTCATTTGAAAAAAAGCACTTAAACATGTCTTCCTCATATTTAAAATTTCTAAATCTTTTTGTGGAGAAACTCTTTGAAGATCCTCTTGAAGCCATTCTTTAGTTGATATCTTCAAATAACATTAAAATGAAATAACGAAAAAATGTTGAAATTACAAACAACAAATTGTGAATCATAATGAAAAAAATGTTGAAATTTACCTTGGATTAGTGAGTGAGCCAAGCAATGTAAAGATGTATTACTTTTGCCCCATCTATATTCTGAAAATAGCATAGATAACATCCCAAAAAGTTTGATCTTCATGAAGTGTCTTCCTCTACATGTCTATATATAAACTTCTTTTACTTGTTTAGCATTTGAATCCCACACTCATAAATGAGATGTAAACAAGACTTATCCATATCAGCTACTCTCAACCATCCATAAATTGGGTCTGTGAAATTTATGATATATTCAATCTCATCCCACCATAAATCTTCTAAAAGCTTCTCTTTTACATACCTAGCCTTTCCAAACATCATCTTCCCTATAACATGTCCATTTGTCACTGATCACCATAGCTTTGAAAGAACATTTTTTATTTTTTTGAATCTTCTCAACATCACATTTACTGAGGCAAACCGAGTTTCAGCAACTGCAAGCATATTTAAATTAGAGAAATCATTGAACATAGAGAGTCTCATGGAGTGATTCAAATAAAAATTTCTAATTACAAATTGCATCTCCAGCAATCACTGTGATCCAATGACATTCATTATAGGTGATTCATTTGCTTCGGTATTTCTTAGCTGCACAAATATTCTTCAAGCAAGATTAAGCGATGCACAACACATGGTGTCCAAAAAATATGAGGATAATGCTTACTCTACAAGTAGACCTGCAGCTCTACAAACAGGTGCATTATCAGTAATGACCTGAATGATGTTTGAAGGCCCCACCATCATGATAACTTCTTTGATTAAATTAAAATGAAAAACTTATCCTTGTACTGTCCTTCATAGTTTACAGCTTTGATAAAACATAGAATAGCTCTCTGTTACAGCCATGAAGTTGATAAGTGGTCTCTCTTGTGGATCTGTCCACCCATCACAAAACCAAGTAACTCACTTTTTCCTTCCAAACTCTTCTAGTAGCTCGAGCAACTTCTCAATATTGTCCCTCTCTCTTTGCAACAACTTCGTTCTAATGACATTATATCCTGGTGGCACGTATCCTGCAAGATTGTTATTGCATGCATATGCAAAGGCATTTTAGTAATGTGGATTCCTTGCTAGGTTAAAAGGAAGTCCAGCTGAGTAAAACCATTCTAGCTATTCCCCGTCTAGTTGTGTTCTCTCATTTGTAAATTAAATGCTTTCTCCAAAGCACTATCTACAACATGTTTTCTTTTTTTGGTTCAAATCCCTCATTCGAAAAGGTCCTTTGTTTACAGTCTGTCATCACATCTAATTGAAGAAGATGATGAAGGATATGAAGCATGAATGCTTGGAAGTGGAATATGTTTTGGAAGATCTTTTTTACTCCTTTGCTCAGCTTCACTGATTTTTCTTTGTAATTCAGCCATTTGTGATGAGCTATCTTCGGGCAAACTTTGATTCCATACCACTAATCTTCAACAAATGAGCTTTCATTCTATAATACGATCCTTTGTATGTTGCATTACAAAAAATTGCATTTGAATGCAATATTGCCTCCCCCTTACTGTTTTACCTATTTTTGTAACATAACCCCATAAAGGTTTGTTATCTTCAATATTAATTTATGATGGTCTCATCAGAACCAATTCCTGCTCCACTAGAGCTCATTATCCTACAAAGGATCTATACAAATTAAAACATATGATTTGAAACATGAAAAATTTAAGTGGAAAGTGTAGATATGTTGCGACTCTGCCGGGGGTCCAAAGGGGCGCTGCCCCTACCGAGTAGTACGAGCAATACGAGTTCCAATACGAGCGGTACCGAGTTCCAATACCGAGCATTACTAAGTTCCAATACCGCTTGGTACCGAGTAGTACCGAGCAATACCGAGTTCCAATACCAAGCGGTACCGAGTTCCAATACCGAGCAGTACTAAGTTCCAATACCGCTCAGTACCGAGCAATACCGAGCAGTACCGAGTTCCAATTACCGAGCACTATCGAGTTCCAATACTGCTCGGTACGAGTAGTACGAGCAATACCGAGTTCCAGTTAATGTTCCGTACCAAGCGGTACCACAGTTTCGATACCGAGCCTGTGATTAAGAAATCGAAGAACGATGAAAAAACGAACCTTCACTGCTCACGTCGCCTTCACTGTTTGCGTTGTCGAGCCGCTTCGTCGACGAAGGATGATCCTATCGACTTAAATGCTCGCGTCGTCAAGCCTCTTTGTCGACAAAGGATGATCCTGTTTGCTTCTATGCTCGGTCATCAAGCCGCTCCTTCAACTATAACGAAGAAGATGAACACGTGTGTGGAAACGAAAAACCTAGCTCTTTGAAATGTTCAGCCGCATAAATGAATATGGATATTGAGCCGGAAACGGTGGAACGTCGAAAAAAAGGGTAATCTGTGGTTCCGTGTTTTTTTAATTAGGACACGCGTATCCGATACGCGTGTCCAGTCAATTTAAATAATATTTTAATCGGACACGGCAAGCCGTATCCAACACGTATCCGTCCGTATCGGAGGTGTACTGTATCTGACACGTATCCGATACAGCACGCCTCGT